CCTTGGCTATTTGGGGAGCCCCCTGGGATCAGCTGAGTGAACAGTGGGAGTTTACATATTTTAAAGATTATAATGTCCATCACATGTGACAGAAGTTCACTGGAGGGCTATTGTTTTCATCCCTTAACCAGGACATTCCTAATAAAGGATAAGACAAAAGAGTCAACACAGTTGCCCAAATTTCAAGCCTGCATCTCAAAACTATTTTTCCTGGCCAAGAATCAGCCCCATCTGCACCATTTTACGGACTCGTAGACTATTGCCAGTGGTCTGGCTCTCTGGTCCAGCCAATGACAGGAATAATAATTCTTTGCCTGGGGTTCTCCCCCTTGGGGTAAAGAACTTTTGCCTCACAGACACCCCACATAAAATCAGGGTCACATATGTCTGTATGTATACTGAAACCACGATAGAAGGCCTTACCAAGACACTCTTTATCCCCTTTGGAGTTTCAAACATCACTGATAGTGACCAAGGCACTCATTTTGTTTCTCAGAAATAAAATACTGGGCTCTTGAACAAGATATTCCGTGAAACTTTCACTTTCCTTACAGGCTACAGGCTTCAGGCCTCATAGAGTGCCATAATGGCTTATTTAAACAAGTTCCAATTCGATTAAATGAAGCATGGTACATTTTTGTCATCACTCAAATATCCAGGGTGAATTATAATGAACAGCCTGACTCCATTTTTTGATGTTTTACTGCTGACAGCTTTTAAGCCTCAACCCTCACTCTCTCCCTGAGTTCCACATGTGGGCAAGTTAATAAGAAGGCCTAAGTTTTCCTTTGGTGCCGACAGGGTTTTCAAACCATACCCATGCAGGTTTCAAGCCTCTGCCCCATGCAGGAACTGTCAGCCCAGCCCTAACTCTAACCACCATTAAAATCCCAAACCAGTCTCCTTTCCTTACTGTTTTAAGCCATTTGTGGAGGCCTGGCTGCTCTCTCCAGAGAGTCCCATTAGGTAAGTAGTAAACACGTTCATACCCTCTTTCTGATTGTCATCAGTCTTGACATCTGAGTCAAATTCTGGGTGGGAATTCACCTTGTTTCTGCATGATGTTCACAACATACGTCTGCCATGTATCTCTTCATGGTCTCAAGGTCTGACAACAACACATCCTCATACCAGCATCCCAAGGATGAGGGCTTGTGGTAAGGTTTTCATTTTATTGCTCCTTTATCACAAAGGAGCATCTTACACTGGAACCACCAGGAAATTTTCTGTGTCCCCCTGACCAGCACAGCGGAACATACCCACCCCTAAACCAATCACTGACAAAGGGAAACAAGATGGCTGAGACCAATCATGAGACACTGCCCATATCTTAACACATCACTGTCTAAGCAACGTAGAGGCTGTGCTGCCAGGTGAGAGAGGATGGTTTGCTGTTTGTTATTAACCAGCAATATCTGCCACCGGAATGCTGATATAGTCCTTTTTCAGATATTTAATGTAGAATTTTTACAGATGGGCCGGTATGTTTTATACTATATTATTTTCTACGCTATTTTTTTCTGATTGGCTGTTACATTTCATTGGCTTCACAAAAGGAACTGGGAAGCTATCCATCTTTTTCTATGATGTGGAATATACATCTTTAGCTTATCATAATATACCTTTAAGAGTCATATATAATGCAAGAGTCTCAAAACAGGGAATTGCTTTTGGATATTAACCAAAAGTAGCATAGAAATGTTGGTACAATCTCTTTGCAGCTATACTTATAAATGAAATGGGTCAGTAGCATTCTTTTTGAGGTAATGTATTTTTCTCACTGGATACTATAGAATAATGGCTACACAAAATGATCTAGGGAGCTTTTCATATTTCTCTATGGTTGAAACGCCATATGTCATAATCATCTGATTTTAAAGGCTAGATAAGAATTAGCATGGAGGGGCGCCTGGGTGGCTCAGTGGGTTAAAGCCTCTGCCTTCAACTCAGGTCATGATCCCAGGGTCCTGGGATCCAGCCCCGCATTGGGCTCTCTGCTCAGCAGGGAGCCTGCTTCCTCCTCTCTCTCTGCCTGCCTCTCTTCCTCCTTGTGATCTTTGTCTGTCAAATAAATAAATAAAATCTTTTTTAAAAAAAAAGAATAGCATGGAATCATGTTTTGTGCTTTTAATAACTGACTATACTCAAACAGTGCTTCTATAGGTTGGACTGCTCCAGGACTCGGTCCTCTGTTTTCTACTCATCTCTTTTCCTAGGGGATCTCAATCAGTCCATTGTTGTTAAATCCCATCAACTCATTGTTTTTTCCCCCAAAATTTATATATCAATCCAATTTCTCCCCTTTGCTTTAGACCTGTATATCCCAGAAGGTCTGCTTGAAATCTCTACCTAGTCACAAAGAGACATCACAAACCACATCTCTGAAAAAGTACTCCTGTTTTTTCCTTTCTTCCCCTGCTCTTCCCCGTCTTAGAAGTGGTACTATCAACCACCCACTTGCTCAAGCCTAAAAACTAGGGGTCATCCTTATCTCCTTTCTTTTTCTCAATCTTTACAACCCTCATACAGTCTAAAAATACTTGCCAATTTTACTTTTTTTAAATAGAGATTTTATTTATTTATTTGACAGAGAGAAAGAGAACCCAAACAGGGGGAGTGGCAGAGGGAGAGGGAGAAGCGGGCTTCCCGCTAAGCAAGGAGCCTGATGCGGGACTCGATCCCAGCACCCTGGGATCAGGACCTAACCTGAAGTCAGACGCCCAACTGACTGAACCACCCAGGCACCCAATTTTACTTTCAAAATACGTTCTCTCTCCCTGTGTCCATACCCACTAACACCACTTTAGACTAAGCCAAATCATGATCATTTCTTGCTTAATCCACTGCAATAACTTCCAAACTGTTGTCTCTGTTTATGTAATTTCATATAATGTCTATTCTATAACATCCAGAGTGAAACTTTTTAAACCTGACAACACTACCACAGGAAATACTACGACGTTGCTCCTTCATACTTAGAATAAAATTAAATCTTCTTAATATTGCTTCCAAGGCCATTGCAAGATGGCCCTTTTGTTTATGTTTCTAACATCATCTTATTCCACTCCCTCCCTAACTTAGCAGGCTCTTGCCCACTTGGATCTTTTCTACTCCCTAAAGATTTGAAAATTTTCTGCACCAAGACTTCTGCCACTGGAATTCTGGGTCTCAGTTCAAATGTCCCCTTTTCATAGAGACCCTCCCTAAACTCCTTATTCACAAGGGACAATTTCAAACCCCTGTAGAGTCTCTATCTCTCACATCAACTTATATATTAACTTGATGGCACATACCACAATTTACACTTATTTATTTACTTTTTTCATTTATTATTCCACCAGTGGGATATAAATAACAGGACGGCCGGGAACTTTTCCATATTTTTCACTTTTTGTCCAATGAGCTTACTATGTGTTTAATAACTGTTAAAGGAAGAAAAATACATGGATCCGATGATGAAGAGAAAAGTCTAAATTGGAAATACAGATATGTGATTTGAAGTAGTGTTTAAAGTTACTGGAGTGGATAAGCGCAACCAAAGAGGAGGGGTCTGAAGACAAAACTGGGAAAACACCAACTCTGGGGCTGTGGGCTTCAGAACAGGCAGTTCGACGAAAGATAAGCCACAGAGCTGAGAGGAACGTCAGTAGAATTTGGTATCACAGAAACCAAGACAGTGTGGCGTCAAGAAGGGAATGGTCAACAGAAGTATACACTGCTGAAAAATCATGTGAAAGCTAACTTTTGGGGCGCCTGGGTGGCTCAGTTGGTTAAGCGTCTGCCTTCAGCTCAAGTCATGATCCCAGGGTCCTGGGATGGGACCCCGCCTCCCGCTGCCCGCTGAGCAAGGAGTCTGCTTCTCCCACTCCCTCTGCTCCGCCCCCACTGCTACGCTCGCGCATGCGCAGGTGGTCTCTCTTACAAATAAATAAGAACTTTTTTAAAAAACTACCTTTCAAACTATCCACTTGTTTTGTGTTAAGGTAGGGACTGCTGTGACCTTAACAGAGAATTTTCACTGAGGTTTTGGGAGGTAAGAACCAATATGCAGCAGGCTGAATGGTAAAAGGAGCATGATGAAGCGGACAGCGAGTAGACTATGTCTAACGGGACATAGGCAATTTCTCTAAGAGAGGAAGGGAAGGACATGGGGTAGATGGAGGAAATTATTCTAAGCCTAGAGGGAACTTGAACAGGTTGACTTTATGGGAGAAAAAGATTCAGTAGCCCAGGGGATGCTGGGAAATATGGGGGGCGGGGATGAGATGTATTGAAGCGGCTGAGGAAATGGAACAGGAGGGACTAGGGTCTGGGGCAGGAAGATAAGGTTTAGCAAGGTAAGCCGAGGGACTTCACAGCTCAGTCACTTGATTTTCTCAAGGACAAGAACTCCAAGGTCACCTGCTTAGAACCAAGAGGGAAGAGGACGTACAGCTTGGGACTATAGAAAGTTTGAGATCGAACCTGAGAGTTATGGGAGAGGGCGCTAAACCAAAAAGCTCCCCCCCCCGCACCCCCTGCCCGCACTCACCCGACCCCCAGGTCAGAAATGCATTCCGCGCGCCTCTGGGTGCTGTCCAAGCTCTTGGGAACGACAGGCGTCCTCTGGGCTCTCGGCAATTTCCAGCACAGTCGCCCTCCCGAGGCGCGCAGTAGGAGGCGCTTGCCAAGGAAAGGGGGCAGAGCCCAGTGCCGCAGCCCTCCTGCCAGACAAGCAGGGGGCTCTCTCCCGAGAGGGGCGGTTCCCAACAGGCCTTGCGGTCGTGACTCAGAGCCCAGATCTCTGACGCGCTAGTTCGTCGCCCCGACCGAGGCGGTGTGGCGAGCCGGCTTCACGCTTCGTCGGGAGGACGAGTGGGTGAGAGAGGAAGCCCGCGGAAGGGGAGGCCAGGACCGGGCAAGGACTGAAGGTGGACCGAGGCGGACGGGGGTGCGGAGTGCGGGGCAGACCCGTAGGTCGCCGTGGTTTCCCAGCGGCGGGAGCGGCCGGGTTCGCCGACGAGGCCGCAGCGGCCATGGCCGTAGATTTCAGGGACCCCCGGAGCGGGTTCCGCCACAACGAGGTGGTGGTGTTCATCAACGAGGAGGTGCTCAGCAACGGCGGCGGTCCCGACTTCTACCTGACCTTCTGCTCGAGGCCCTGGAACGAGGTAGAGGACGAGCTACTGTCCATCGTGGCGGACCCTCAGGTGCCGCGCGCCGTCAAGCGGGCTTACTCGTGGAGCGCGCTGGCCTTGAGTGTGCGCGCGGCCGCGAGGCAGCAGGAGCAGCAGGCGCACCGCGTCCGGCGGCTGCAGGAGCAGCTGGAGGAGCGCGAGACCACCACTTGGGCTCTGGCCAACCAGCTGCAGCGGCTACGCCAGGAGCGCGAGCAGGTGGTGTCGCAGTTGCGCCACGTGCAGCACGACCTGCAGCATGTGCTGAATGAGCGCGAGGCGCTGCGTGGCCAGCTGCTCCAGGCCCAGAGGCAGCCCCAGCAGGTCGGGTCTCGAGTGCAGCGGCTGGCGACAGAGGTGTGGCCCCTGAATGCAGAGGAGCGGAACGAGGTGCTGGCCGCCACCCGGTCGCAGCGTGAGCGGGATGCGGAGACCCAGAGAGTGGAGGCCCACATGGCCTCCGCGACAACAGGTGTGCTTTATGCGCCAGGATCGCCGCCGCCGCCGCCGCCGCTGCCGAGTCCCTGGGCCCGGGTTGTTCAACCCTCTCTGCCAATGCCGTTCCCCATGCCATTCCAGGTGGCGGTCCCCTACCCACCACCTCCCCAACGCAGAGTAGTCGCAGAAGCAGCAGCAGGAGCAGCGTTCACACCCCAGATGCCTGCTGCAGCCATCTACCCACCTGGCACGTGGCCTCCGTTCAGGCCTCTGGAGGAGATAGCCATGTGGTGGGACCAGAGACGCCAAAGCCAAGAAGAAGGTCCTGCCAGGCTCCACTTTGGCTTAAACCCCGCAGGGCGCAGCTGGAGCCAGGGAGACCTGATGAAGCAACAGCCACAGGGACAGAAGCCCAAGCAACCAAATGGTAAGAAAGGCTTTGAATGCCAGCAAAAGGAGAAACCTGCCTTGGACTTGGGGAGGAGGGATTGGGGCTGCCTCTGGTGTAGAGCGTGATTCATTTTTCTGGACACTTGGCTTGTGATAAATGCAAGAAAATCTAGATACTAACTTTGACCCCAAACTAGCTCCTCCCCAAACCTGGGCATGCAGAAAAGAATGGGGACAGACTCCAAAGAGAAATCAATTTTGGCAGGCCCCTTTCTGATCAAAAACTCACTCTTCTATGTACATCTTCTGTTTACATCTCTTCTATTTATATATTTACAGAAAAATTTAAAATGCCCCAAATTTTCAGTATCCTACCATCCAGCAATGACCATTTTTAGCACATTGATATAGCTGTTTCCACAGGTGGCTCTCTTTCCCTAGTTGCGTATTATACGTGTATTTGTGTCTGTGTTTAATGTGTATTGCTTTAAAGAAAGATGAGACTTTAGTGAATAGTTAATGAGTCGTTTAAGGGAAAATTTTTCCGATTGTGTTTGAGTTCACAGGTGGTGGACTCTGGATGGCGGCTACCAATTGGTTGACCCCCTGGCAAGGCTGACATGATGAAACGTTTTTTTCTCGTTTCTGTGTTCTCATTAACTTCCTCTCTCCCACAGTAGCAGGTCTTTGGCTAAGAATAATCATGCTTTTAGAACACACGCCCATTACATTCTAGGAACACCACTTCTCCTGCAGAACGCGATTGCTGGGCTGTAAACTGCAGCAGTGTTCCTATTTGTTTCTTGATTTATTTTTACAAAATTCATAGCCGAGGACCTGTTCTTTGTGTCTCTAAGCTCCAGGAACTTTGTGTGAAGCCGAAGAAACTCCAGCTCCCAGTGTGCGAATGAATCCTCCCAAAATACCCTCTGGCTCTCAGCGGGCTTCACCTCAGTGAGACCTCAACTGGCTGGAGCTAGTAGAAGTGTGAAGAAATCAGGGAAAAGGAGACATTCTGGCATACATCTTGAAACGGGGGAAGCAGACAGATTTTGTTAGAATTTGACCCTTCTCTTATGGAAAAGGGATTGGCAGCAGATTTCAAAGGGTGGATGGGAAGGGAGTATTAAATGTTAGAGGTTATAGCAAGCTTGTTGAATTTTGTTTATTAATTCATTGAACAAATAGTTACTGATTGTCCCGTAAGGGTTAGGAACTACAGTGATATTTTATTCTCTGGTGCATACATTATAGCTTAATTGGATGAGTCTGGTTAGATGACAGAAGAGCCTTATTTGGGATACAGTGTACACTGGGGTTGTTTTTTTGTTTGTTTTGTTTTGTTTTGTTTTTTGCCTAGCACGCAATATGGCTTTTGGGTAAACCCAACTGAAATGACACCAAGATCCATTTCTGTGATTCTGGAGGCAATGTCAAAGGCACTTTCATGGAAGGACTTGAATGACTAAACTGCTTAGCACATCAGTCCCCACAGAGACAAACAGGCCCGTGGCAAAGACTGGCGGAAGCAGCCTCACCAAAGGATAGGCGGGACTTTTCTGAGACTCCTGCTGATTTCCTCCCTTGAAAAGCACTGCTAGTTTTCCGGTTGTCTGAAAGACCACTGGGCTTTCTTGAAGAAGGAGAGTGTTGGCTACACACTCGGTCCCTCAGCTTGGGGCCACCATCTTCCCGAGCTCTTTTCCAGTCAAGATGGATGAAAAACAAAATGGATTCCAAGGGCGGACATTGTGCTGTGAATGGTGCTCCTCTTGGAAGACTGATTGGATTAAAAAAGAACTGGACTGGGGCAAGCACTTTTGGGAATGCCCGGGGCCCCTTCTCTTCCATTTGGTGTGTTCCCTGCAGGCTCTCTGCTCCCTCAAGGCGGGTAGAGCCCAGTGGGTGGGAAGTTAGATGGTCTCCAGTCTAAACAAAAGGTGTTCTTGAGATTCCCCCATGAAGTCCCAGCTCGCCAAGCTCGGCCTCTGTCAGAGGCTTCCTGGTTGTGATAATAAAGAGTGTGCACTTGCCCTCTGGGTCTTCTGTGTGGTGTGCATCTCGGGGCAGGTTTGCTCCGGGATGGCAGTTTAAACCCACATCTTCCTACCATCCCACCAAAGCGAAGGAAGTTTCGATCTTATTCACTGTTAGAGGGCCTCTCCTCTTCCAGTGAGTTACCCAAGGCTGGGACGGGGGGAGCTTCTAAGGGACCTTCAATCTATCATGAATGTCCCTGTTCCCCTCACTGTCCGTGTCCACATGGTCCCTTGAAGGTGGGCATCTCCGCTGCTCTTGAGCCCGTGGGGCACGAGAGGTGAAGTGGGGAGGGGGCTTCTGTCTAGGCTGGAAGCCTGAATGCCTGGTGTCCAGCCTCCCTATATGCACTAAGAAGCCATTTACCTGAGGCCCCGTCTCCCAGAGGTCCCAGCAGAAATTTCCCTCCTGCATTTCTGCCCTGCAACGCACAGTCCCCTCCCTCCTATGCATAATCCCACAAAGGGGCTCAGGATTCTGGAAAACATCCAGGTTTAGATAGCCTGTTAATAAGGCAAATGTTCCCTGAGGCAAAGGGGGGTGTGTGGAACCTCGCTGCTTGCTTGGTTTAGGGACAGGGATGGGGCAGAGAACTGACCCTACCCCACCAGCTTTCTCTCTCTCCTCAGTCCTGGTAACTAGAGGGCAGCATTGGGGAGGGAGAGGACCATTAGGGACATCAACCTAAAGCTAGGTTTTCTGGGCTTTCTAGGTTTTCTAGGGGCTGGTTTTGTGATACTCCTGTGTGTGCTAATAGCTCCCCAGAATTTGGGGAGGATGGGGCACAGATGTGACTCGGGAATGTTATAGGGTATTTTTATCTGGTGGTTCTCAGCGTGTTTTCTGGATCAGCAGCATCAGGATGACCCGGGAACTTGTTACAAATGCAGAAGTCCAGGGAGTGGAGCCTAACAGGTGTTTCTGATTCCCGCTGAAGTTCAAGAACCTTTGTTTGTAATCCATACTGTAACATGAACAAATCACCCAAGATTTCATTATGGTTGGTACATTTAGGGCTTCACAACTCACTCTGATGTCCACTGGAATGTCTCTAGGTCTGCCTGAAGGCAGACTCATCCTTGGGCATAGCTTTTCCACAGCCCAGTGTGATTACCCAATATTGCAAGGCTGACTTTTTTCATAAAAACCTTCATAAATCTTTGGCCAGAATTACTGAGGCTGGCTCTCAATGATCCCTTCATTCTGGTCTTGGCACATGCGTGTAAAACCACTAAGTTTGGTTTAAGGAAAGAGCCTGGGCTTTGGGGCCAGAGACACCTTGGTTCATGTATACCCGTTCTGCCATTCACTAGCTGTGTAACCTTGAACAAACTACTGAATTTCTCAGATCCCCCAAAAGTGTTGTCTCCCTTCTCCTACCCTTATCGTTCTGCTCTGTGATGATGGGGTAGCGGGTATAACAGAAACCCACCAAGTACCTCCTCGTACCACTGAGTGCCTACCATGTGACACTTCATGGCCATTATCCCACTGTGACTGTCACAGCTCTGTGACATATAATAGATCCCTCTACTAATAGTTCTTCAAGGAGCATATTGTATTCCCATTTTACAGATATGGCAACTCAGTAACTTACCCTAAATCATTCAGCTGGGAGTTGGTGAAGCCTCGGTTCTCACTCCAATCTGCCTGGCACCGAATTCCATGTTCTTTCTACTGTAATACTTCAGTGCCTCAAACTTCTACCCTTTCCAGTCAACAGCAGTTAACAGGGTCTGTCAATGCTTGGACTGACAGAATTAATTACAATGAAAGGACTCGAAGTCACAAAGGCAGTCTGGTGGGGAAGGAAGTGGGCGGAGACGGCAAGAGTCCAGCTTTGGTGGCCAGGAGTGTTGGTGAAAGAAAAGAAGGTACTGGAAGAAAAGGAGTGTGGACATACCTCCTAGAGGCGTCAGCCTGGTGGAACCTGCAGAGACAGAAGTCCAGAAGATGGAGCAGCATGCAATGGGGACTTGTCCCCAGCGCCACCTGCACAGAGCCCCTGGCCAGCTACACTTCTACCCCCATTCACCTCCGCTGCAGAAGGAATGGCTCCAATCCCACCCTTTCTGGTGGGGGTGTCTGCAGGCAGCATGTAGAGAAGTGTAGAGATGGGGAGAAGCAGCTCTCGGATACCACAGGAGGCAACGACAGCCTCATGAGAAACATGCCTCTGCATTGCCCTGGAGGGTCACAGAGCTGTGCATGGAGGCCAGGTGCCCGGACTCAGGAACAGGATAAAATAAATGCATTTTTCTTTGAATTAAATATGTTTTAAGGGGCACCTTGGTGGCTCAGTCGGTGAAGCTTAAGTCTCTAAGCGTCTGCCTTCAGCTCAGCTCACGTCATCCTGAGGTCCTGGGATCGAGCCCCACATCGGGCTCCCTGCTTAGTGGAGAGTCGGCTTCTCTCTCTCCATCTCCCTCTCCCCCTGCTTGTGCACTCTCGCTCTCTCAAACAAATAATAAACGTGCTACAAATGAGGGGAAAGTCCTGGTAGGAGTGGAGGCTTTGTCCTCTCATCTAACTTTCATCTCTCTCACATGAGCTGGCCCTCGGCTCGGAGCAGAATGCCAGAGAGCACCATGGAGATCCCAGACCCACCACCCTCTCGGGGAATTATCTTCCTGAGGCCCTTTTCTGATTATCAAAGCAAACTCGGCTGACCCAAAAAGAAGCATGAAAAGCTGTTAAAACTGCCCACAATCCCCAAACCTGGAGGTGACTGCTGGTTATACTTCAATGTCTTTGTTTTATAGCCACACAGGCATATATACGTCTGCACACACAGATCTACTGAACAGGATAAGAGTACATGTTTTTTTCTGGAGCCTCCTTAGCTGCAGAAGTAGTGGTTCCAATCTGGACCCCTCTTGTGGGGGACTCTGCACCCAGCGCGGGGGAAGGTGAAAGAAAAGGGAGAAGCACATCTTGGGGGGCTGGGGGGTAGTGATAGATACAGATAGATAGAGATTTATTTACCAAATCAGAATCGTGGCACATCTTTCTTTCCAACATTTGTTTTTCACTTAACAGTTAAGACCTGAGCTATCTCATATTCATGTTGAGAATGTGATTTCAAATGACCATGTAACATTCTGTCACGTCAACGTTTCAATTGACTTAACTAGTTCTTCTATCTGACTGGGCATTTAGATTATTTTCAAATTTTTATTTTCACATTCAACATCGTATCAGTATGCATAGTCTTCTGAACCACGGTCAAGAGTGAATGTCACCATTAAAAATATCCTAACTGGTGTGAAAGATCTCTTGTTTTGATTTCTATTTCTTTACCTACCTGGACAATGGAACCTTTTTTTCAAGTTACTTATTCAGTTTTTGTTTCTTCTATCATGATTTAGCTATTCACATTCTTATTCAAGTTCACTCGTGGAATATTCCTCTTATCTTGTTTTGTGTTTGATAGTAAGGATAGTAACCCGATCCTTTGTCATACTTACGATTGAGAGTATTTTCTCTTGTTTGTAGTTTCTCTTTAAATTTGTGCCAGGTGGTATTTCAATGATCAGAAATATTACGTTTTTATATATTGAGATCTTTTCCACTGGCATGTCTTCTTTTTCCTTTATTCTCAAGAAGGTCTTCTTTGAGGTAAGATCTACAGCCATCTATATTTGATTCTATAGTTTTCAAAAATTTAAGTCTTTAATCAACCTTGATTTTGGTACGTATTGTGAGGTAGGTGTTTAAGTGTAATTAACCTTGTGTCTCAGCTTCAATGTCTACTCCTTCCCCACTGATCTGAAAAGAATACCTTTATCAAATACACACACACACAGAGTTTGTATGTTGCCTGTTAAAACTGCTGGTCTTGGGGTGCCTGGGTGGCTCAGTGGGTTAAAGCCTCTGCCTTCAGCTCAGGCCATGATCTCAGGGTCCTGGGATTGAGCCCCGCATCAGGCTCTCTGCTCGGCAGGGAGCCTGCT